TGAAACTGGAAATGGAAAGAACAGTGAAAGATGACAGACTTGAAGGGATTTTATTGGAACTATGGGTTGCTCCTAAGGTCAGAATCAGTAAGTATAATTAGATTCCTAGCATTTACAACAAATGTAAAGCAACTCGGAGATTTCTTTTGTGTGCATGTAATTAAACATGCACTTTTACTGCCCTCTGCAGTATTGCAAAGTTACTTTGATTCCAGCACATGAAAGCTGCTTGAAAGAACAGACACAAATCTTCATCTCTATATTGCACTCATATTTCTGAAAACAAAGCATTTTTCAGAAGAAATGGAATAGCCCCTTTCTAACGGGACACAAAAGGGAACATTGTTTTTACTAATAATTAGGGCCTTTTCAATACCTCCCAGGAACTCTCTCAATGGGAACTTGAATAGAAAGCAAGCTCCCAGCGCAGACAGCTGAACCCCGGTTTAACCCATGAAGGAAGTTCCAGGGTTCCACTTAAAACTTATTTCTCAAGTGTATGAATCAGCATCTTGGGGATAAATTCGTTTCCTATTGTGTTTCAACACTATCCAAGGGAGGTAAGTGGCAAACTCCGAGAAGAAACTAGCATTGGGAATCCAAAAATCCAGTGAAGTGACAGATGCTGGACCTCAATTCCTTGCACATCTTGTATTTAGGTGGTGGATGCTGCAAAATTAAATACCAAATGTATTGAATAAATTCTGCCCTGCAATACTGCCTTCTCTCCTGATTTCTTACGTATCCCACTTCCTAACTACACTGGGTTCTTTAAAACTAAAACAGATTTTGACCCTTCCCAAAGTAACTTCAGTCTCTTTGCCAGTCATGCAGTATTTCACCAAAATTATCCCTATTTGTCATGAAGCTCTCAGGAAGGAATTCCCAAATAGTTATTAACCAATCTTCTCACGTTTTGAGACACCATATAGAAGGAAACCAGAGAATGAGAACTTCCACTAAGTTCAAATTTCTTTCAAAAGAGCTCTTTTACCAATCCAGTTTTGATTAAAAAAAAAGCCCCCAGTAGACTTCCCCACGGATCCACATTCAAATGTAATTACAAAAACCTTGCCTTTGTACCAGGGATCTTCTGTGCATTAGCAACACAACAAAGCAGATAATCCTGAAAATAACTTTAGTAAATACACGCATGAACAAAATGTTGTTTGAATGGGTATTTTTGACTTAAAAATGGATTCATGGAACAAAGCTGGCTTTAGCTTGGCTTCCTTAAAGAGGCTTAAATCATTGCATTGTCAAGTCTTTTTCAGAACATCTGTCCCACCCTTTCTAATTTTTAAACTAGCTTTCCATTTTCCTCTGTATTTAACAAAAGGGTACATACCTTCCTGTAAGCTTTATGTGACACTGGCTAAGTAATGAAGGAAGGCCCAGTTAATGCACAAGTGAAGGAAGAGTTGGCACAGCTTAGCTCCGATGTGCTCAGCACGTTACCAAAGTCAAAAAAGGTGGAGTTTAGAATTAGCCAGAGCCAAGACTACTGTCAGTTAGCTAGGCATGGTTTGAGGGATGCTGAAAGAGGACACAAGGCTCTTGCTCTGATGGGAGTAAAAGAAACATAAAACAGAAGGCTCAAATCTATAAAAAGCAAGGCTGACAGGTTCTGCTGCCCACATAACAACCTGCGCATTTTGAAAGGGCTTTAACCTATTAATTCCACTGTTTGACTCACCAGTTCTCCATATGAAGCAAACTCCACCGTATGCAATCATGCACAATTGAAAAAAAAAAAGTTATTCTTCCATAATATTCTATTAACTAGACATTAACCTATACAAATGATGTTATCCCACATTTAACCACCAGAGGACTTCATTGAGAGCAGCCCTGAGAAGGCCCTGGGGGTGCTGGTTGATGAGAAGCTCAAGGTGAGCCAGCAATGAGCACCTGCAGCCCAGAAAGCCAGCTGTGTCCTGGGCTGCACCAACAGCAGCATGGGCAGCAGGGAAGAGAGGGGATTGTCCCCTTCTGCTCTGCTCTGGTGAGACCCCACCTGGAGCCCTGCACCCAGCTCTAGGGCGCCCAGGACAAAGATGTGGATCTATTTGAATGAGTCCAGAGGAGGCCATGAAGATGATCAAGGGGCTGGAGCACCTCTCCTGGGAAGACAGGCTGAGGGAGCTGGGGTTGTTCAGCCTGGAGAAGAGAAGGCTCCAGGGAGACCTTACAGCAGCCTGCCAGTGCCTAAAGGGGGCTGCAGGAAAACTGGGGAGGGACTCTGTCAGGGGGTGCAGTGACTGGACAAGGGGTAGTGGCTTTAAACTAAGATAGGGTAGGTTTAGATTAGATACTAGGAAGAAATTATTTACTCTGAGGGTGGTGAGGCACTGAACAGGCTGCCCAGAGGAGCTGTGGGTGCCCCATCCCTGGAGGTGCCCAAGGCCAGGCTGGATGGGGCTTTGGGCAGCCTGGGCTGGTGGGAGGTGTCCCTGCCCATGGCAGGGGGTGGAATTAGATGGGCTTTAAGGTCCCTTCCAACCCATATCATTCTAAGATTTATTCAATTTTGCACTCAATGAAGAAAATAAATAATAAAATAATAATAATAATAATAATAATAATAATAATAATAATAATCCTGTTTCTCATTTTTGAAAAAACATCCCATCCCAGAAAACACAGGTGCTCTCTTTAAACCCCTACCTAGATGCAATCCATAAACACTAAGTTCTCTAAATAGCTGAAGTGAAGGGGAATAACTCATAGGGTTAAAAACAATGCCATGGATGCCCAATTGCTTCAGAACAAACTCAGAATCTGAGCCTGTTTCACAAGCAGACACTGATCATAGTACAGCTAGAAAGATTTCTAAGCTGAAATGGTTTACCAACAGGTATCAGTGCTTGGGTAAGAATGCATGCTGAACACCCCAGACCTGCACATAAGGGTTGTTTTTAAGCAGGCCAGGAGAAATAAATTATCTAAGCTTACAGATAAACCCCTGAGAAGTTACTCTGTAGGAACTTTAGTGTCCCAAGATGCTTGAGAAATATTTGTTATACGTTTTGTTATAACAGAAAAGCAGTCTCCACTCTTTGCCTAATATCTTCTTACCCTACGGTTCCACTACATTTCTTCGTGAAGTTTTGCCCTCTTTCCCCCAGGCCTGAATCTTTCAGCATGCACCTTTTGCTTTACTTATTAAACAGCCTTTTTAAAAGGCTGTAAAAACTCAGCCCACGAGTTTTCTCTTTTACATTTCTGATTCTCTCCCTCATTCCACTGGGGGGAGTGAGTGAGCAGCTGTGTGATGCTTAGCTGCCTATGAATGTTAAATCAGGTGTTAAATCTAACGTCCCCCTTTAAAAAGTCGAGTTACTTCTCTTGACTCCAATACTGCCTTATCCTGATTCTCCACAAGAGGCTTAAAATTACTTACTACAGGATTAAGGTGATATTGTGTGACCCATTTTACCCAGGAGACCAGGTTGCATATATCTGCTAGCATCTCTGGGCTTAATTATTCAAAACGACCTGAACAGCATTGGTATAACTTTGTGTCCTCGTTTCAGCTGGGATAGTTATTTTTTTCCTAGTAGCTGCTATGGTGCTGTGATTTGGATTTAGGATGAGAATAATGCTGATAACACACCACTGTTCTAGTTGTTGCAGAGCAGTGCTTGCTTACACTGAGTCAAAGACTTTTCAGCTTCTTGTGCTGCCTCAACAGGGCACATCAGGGGCTGGGAGGGGATACAGCCAGGGCAGCTGGCCCAGGCTGGGCCAGGTTAAACCACAACACCTTGACAAGTTTTGCCATGCTCTTTGTGGGAAGTTTAGATAGAGCATGGCATTATGAATAACATGGAGAAAAGCCAATTCACCGATCATCTAATTCCTCACATACACCTTTCAGTAAAACAACAGCAAAGTAGACAGCTTGACTATTTCTACTTGCTACAGCAAGTGTAAAAGCAGAAGAAGCACCTGGTATGTCCTGAACACATGGAAATTGAGACAACAGCTCAGTGGCAACTACCACCCTACGGTTTGCAGAATCAAGCACTTCAGGTTTATGAATACAGAATCAAGATGAAACGAAGTATTAATTTGCAGCTCTGCAATACACGTATGTAGTTCTCTAGAGAAATCCTGCTGTACTAGTTCACATTGGGTAAAGACACCACCTCATTTAACATTAATACTTTATTCTTGACCAATGCTGAAGTGTGTACTATCGGTTTCTTATTTACGATACGAGTAGCTTTGTTCCTGACTGCATGTGACTCATTACAAATCTTCAAAACATTTAAAAGTGAAGCAAACAAAAAAACTCACGAAAACATTTAGTACCACCAGTTGCCAACAGTAAGTGGCACAATGGCAGAACTACATTAAGTGGTTGATGGAAATCAGATGCACTAACCATTAAAAAAAAAAAAACAACACAGAATACCCAACAGCAGATAGTCGTGATTTGAAATGGTGTTCCCAAGGAGCTTCATGTGGACTTGCCTGTCAGCCCTACCACCCAAGTTAGAATCATACCTTGACATTCAGAACTGTTACTGAACTCTAGTTTAAAGGCCATTTAGCTAGCATGTACAGAACACCAACACCCAGAAATTCCATGTTAGAGATCAAATAAGGTGAGATCTTGTTAACAGAGCTTTAACTGTCCACCTAGTTTTTCCAGAAGAAGTTCCAGAGAACACAGCCTAGTAACCAGCTCATAGATACCTACTAAACTAAACTGCTTTGAAGGAGACTGCAAAAGGCTCACCCATTACAAACCAGTCTGAAATTCACCACAGTGGCCTGCATACAAACAGATTCTAGGTCTTTCTCAAAGTCAGAGGACATTGCTAAAACCCATATAATACTCTAGCTTATTATTAATATCAGTCTCAGATGTATGGCTTTCAGTATTTTCTCTGCATTTTGTTATCCACAGAATAAATGAAGTTGATTAGTTGTTATGAAGTTATTAACAAATGAAGTTGTTATCCACAGTAGGAAATGAAGTTGAAGAGTCATAAAGAAATGCACATCCATTTATTTTCCAGCAACGTCCCATACAAAAGCAATAGAAACATTAACTGCTTTCAGCAGAAAGTCTGTACAGTGTTATCATTTACAAGTTTTACATTTAAAATTGGCAAATTAAAAAGCATCAATTATTTTCCCTAAACATTTTGTTTTGACTGTATTAACAAACAACTCATTAATATTTACAATTCTCAAATTCATGCTACTGCTTCTTAAAACAATATTACTGCTACCTAGTCTTTACAATATCAACTAATTTCTTGAGTAATTCTTCTCCAATTGTTTCAGAAACATTTTTGCAAATAAAAATTATCTTTTTTTTTTTCATTTTTAAAAGGTAAGGCAGTTTAAACTTTAGTGACTGCAACAGACAAGTGTGCTAGTACTAATCAGCAGTATGCTTCAGCTACCGCCTGCATTACTTCCAGACGGATCTTTGTAGAGACAGATGGAAAAGCAAAATGACATACAGACGCTGAAAAACATTTCCGTATTTTGCTCTTGATCTGCAGGTGGACAACTGAAATAAGGGATGCAATGGTGCAAACAAAATAAATTGTAAGGTCTTGCTGAACTGTTTATAATCACTTGAGAATAGCACTGCCTTGGGCTATTTTTTTCTATTGAAAGGTTTTATAAAAAAAATCTGACATAAGTTAAAAAGAAGTCACACAATTTAATTCTATTTTTACATAAGTTTGGTCCAGAGAGTATGTAGACCAACCTTGACTTAGAGAACAGTCTTTAACTTTGCTTAAACTTTCTTACTATTATCAGGTAGAAAACACCCAGTTTATGAATCAAGCTAACCTCTCAAAATTAAAAGAAATTTCCCCTAAACCAATTTGCATAAGACTGTTTAACTCACAGTATTGAAATCTTTAAGTGGCTCACTCAAACATGCTTCCAAGTCAAATTCACCTTCTGCTTGATAGTCAATGTGTCTAACTTTGGTGGGAGTGCCAGAACAGGTATCCTGGAATACAAAAAATGTTAAAAATAAGAAGTTAAATACAGGTTTGCTTATGCAATAATTCATTTAACTTCTTCAGTTCATTTAAACAACTCTGTAACAGAGACTTAAAAACACTTTTTTTAAAAAGGCTATATAAAAACCTTAGACTAGTCTGAAGAGATTTAAGTGAAGGCCATTCAACTACTTTCTAAGGTTTCTTATGTACATCTTAAGGATCAGTGTATGCATATACCGAAACGTTATACAGCATCAATAATCATCACGAAAGATGTATTAACAGCAAGAAAAGCACTAGTAAATCTTTAGAAAAGGGCACTGCTCAGCTGTGCTACGTATTTTCTAGGTACAAAAAAAGCCTTCAAAATGTCCACTCATGCCCAGAAAACTACACCAATTGTTTCCTGTTTTAAAATCAGATATTGCAAGGTAAAGTAGCATTTCCTCTCTACATCACAGTTCACCAGTGATATGTTTTGAACAGGTGTATCCTCTTCTGCAAGCTACAAAAAATTAGTTAAGTGATCATCTCAGATGACATTTAAGTTACAATTCTCTAAATTCAGGCTACAGACAGACATTGATTACAACTGTGAATGTGTCTGAATTTAGTAATTGCTCAGCCCCTAAACACAGCTGACTGTGGAGCTTCTTGTGTATTCAGGATACTCTGGCCACAATTCTAATTAATGGACCAATTACTAAACAAATATTTATGCAAATGACAGGCATTCTTACATCATTATCTTGACAGCTCGTTTGAGACTCTGTAGAATGGCTTCCTACGGATTCTGTCTCCATCTCACCAAGGTCAACAGGACTACTGTAAAATAATTAAAAAGCATACACCTTAGAACCAATTACATTTTTTAACAGGAGGTTTATTGTAGTTCATGGGCGCAGACCGGAAAGCAATGTCAGAACAAGAGCAACGAGACTTGCAGAGGTTATACAGAGGTGACAGAACTGCTGAGACAAAACAGAACAGCAGGTTAACTTACACAGCCAAAATGACTGAAGACTATGTTAAAGCCTTGAGATCGAGTACTGCAACTAAAACAACCCAACGCTCAAGCAATGCCTCAATATAGAGAACAACAGTTACGGAAAGAGCAAAGAATTTTTATTTCCTTGGGCAAGGTTTTCATTTTGTTTTCCACACAAGATTTAAGAGCCACAATACACAGAACTGGACGCTAGAATCTGAAGACAGACTAACATTCATTTCAACACCAACAGATACTGCAGGTTTCAGGATGAAATACCACTTAACTCCCTTCTTGTTGATTACAAGTAAAAGAAAGCTAAAGTGAGCCCTTGCTTTTTTAGATCCACTGCTCCATATTGATTTTAAGATCATCACCATTGTTTGGGGGGGGGTGCCAAGGGAGATGATCAAGTGGTCTGTCACCACAAATCTGTTTCCTGAGGAATTAGTTACGTCTGCATCCCTTCATTCTGTAATACCACAGTTTTATTTTGGATATTCCCTGACCAGTTTTATTGCTTTCTGTAGAGAAAAATAACTATTTGCATCATTCTGTTCTGAGCTAAGTATTCATGAAATCTGTCAGAATTCTCCAGCACTGCTTCTACCACAGATTAATCAATTTACACTGCCCTGAAAGAACATTCTGCCTTGCTGGTGTGATACTTCCCTCTATAAAGCACTGCAGCATGAACTCTGATCTCATCCAGTGGAAATACATTAAAAGAAATGAGGGGTATATAGATATGCCCTTACAAGTCCAGTCTCACCAATTAGGTCCAGAAAGCTGTTACATACTCTGAGAAGGAACTGAGTAGCTCTCAAGAACACTAACTGTGGACAACTAACTAAGGAAAACATTCAGTAATCACTGACTTGTCTCCCAAATAGCTACGCTGCTTTATTTTTTTAACATAAGGTGTTGTGTTTTTTTAATATATACATTTCTCTTTAAGATTCTATACATACATTTCTTGCAGATCACATCCTTCTTCAGTAGGTGGATCCCAGGAATGCAGTGCAACTTTCCATAGTTTTATTTGTTGGTCCCATGACCTACGGCTGTACTTCTTAAATTTATTTGGAGTTCTGGGGTGAACTCCTGGTATACGATGGCATCTGTATTAGACATGAAAAAATTATTAATGCTTTTCACACAGAGATATCAGGTACCTGTAAAAGTTAAGGCAGATTGCCTGCTGCCCATGCTCATTACAACCCAGTAAATTCTAAGTGATTTCTGAGGAAAAACTAACAAACAAAAACCACCAACAAAAAAGACTACTGCACAATTCCAATACCCAAGTGAAAGGCTGGCATCTACATGTGAACATTTTAGTTCTTCCATTTTTCATCAAGTGTGGGAAAAAAAACGTCAATGTTAGACCTGAAAACTTAATTATGCAGTTTCTGCATATAACATATAATCCAAACCATAAGAGAAACCATAGTCCATTTTGTCTGTCAGTTTACTAATGAGAAAACTGGCTGCAAAAAAAAGCAGTTTCATTTCCTCTGACAAGCACAGCAAAAGAACTTACACTTTCATTTCTGCAGCATGAGGAAGTTCGAAAGGAAATGTATGTGTACATTTCCTCATGTACAGAGTAGTTGTAAAATAAACAAAAATCCAAGACACATTTAATTTGTTCATTTCGCTTATCTGGTAAAAAAAAAATATCTTAGTTTCATATGTAGATACCTCAGATATCAAGTTTAGTATGTTCACGTGCTTTCAAAGAACAGATATGACCTCTATTTATACATTTAGTTTTCCAGAAACTCAAGCAACTTACCTAGGAACTTCTTTAATGTATCTATCGTACGCAATTGTATTTTTTCCATAGTTTATCTGTTTTTGTCTTCTCATCAAAACCACTTCATCCGTCTCAAGTTCTACTGGTGCAGTGGACTCCTTTGAATCAGAACTAAGAAAAAAGTAATATAAAATGGGGGTACCAGAAAATAAGTGATACACCTAGAACAAATTTGTATGCCAAAAATTAAAAAGAAACATTAAAAAAATTCAAATGGATGCTGAGAATGTTACTGAATTTCAGTATCAGGGGAGACCTTGGATGAACTACTTAGTTTTCCGAAGCAACACAGAACATTTGAAAATTCAAACCTATTGTTTGTCAGCTAAGTTAGAAACCTACCTTCCAGAAGAGGACCTTCTTTCTCTTGAAAACTCATTTATCAGTAGTTTTCTTCTGTATCTGTAAGAGTTCAAGTCAGTAGTAAGAATATACACAAAGAGAACAGATAAGGCTGCATGTCCCAGCTCACAGTTAATTTTACTTCTCAGTTAAACAGTAGCCTTAAATAAATCAACCTAAGTACCTTCCCACTATGGAACAGTTGCTTCAGTTTTTCCCTAAAAACAAAACAAAAAAAACCAAACAACAAAGCAGAGCTCCAAGAACTTTCACTTCTCAACTCTTCTGTCTAAAAAACCTTCCCATGGTAAAAATACACAAAAACAGTAAATATCAAAAGGATGTTCAAAGGAGATCATTTAAATCTGGAGACACAGGAGAAGTTTTGTCCAAAAAGGAGAGGTTTAGTGACTCTCCAGTGTACTATGTCACTGCTACAGGACCTAAGCCACAGCTAGCCTAAAGCAGAACTTGCTACCTCTGAGTCTAAGGCCAAGGTTGGTCTGGTTTTACTACAACAGTTAAGTTAAAAATACAAGTCAATACAGATTCTACAAGAAAACTGCCATTTTCCCTCCTTTCTCCACATCTTAAAACACCCATGGGTACCTTGCAATTTCTTTGTTAACGTTGGTTCTCATTTCATCTTCTTCCACTGCAGCTGCCCAGTCTGAACACCGGGAAAGGGGGCCAGGGCCTTCAGGTGTTGTAAAGCTGAAGAAGAAAAAAAAAGTAAGAATTTACTTCATTGTATTTCATTGCTCTCCTACCATCTCCCCCCTTCACAGCTCGGTAGCTATTTGATATATTCATGTACAGTAATGACAATTCTGAAGATCTTCTATGTTTCTGTGCAAATGGCAGCATTTTAAAACTAAACAATTGATAGATCCACTTCGAGGTTGTCTGTTTTTGTTTTGTTTTTGTTAAGAAGTTTAGGTAGGTATCTGTAGAAACTAACCACTGTAGCAAGTTACCTAGCCTACACTTCAGTAAGTTTAAGTTGGTTTCCTTCAGAATATGGTATGTGAATTATCGTCTTCACTCGTTTACTCACTTCCGTATTTTCACTCCACTAAACAATTTATCAAATATTTACTTTCATGATTGCAGACTCGTTAGCTATAAGAGACAAAAGTTAGAACATGTAATTTTATTGTACAGATCATTAAAAAACACACTCAGTTTTCAGTTGGTAACCTGAGATTTGCTCTGACCTTGCAAACAGCATTTAACAACTTCATTGCAGCCCATTAACATCACGAGCAGATTTGGACTGTTAAAAGGGAGTAAGCTTATAACCTTTCCCAGCTGACAGCTGCCTACATTCAGATTATTAAATATGTTTTCCAGACCACCTCCTGTCCTGATGATTTATCTTCCTAAAGTACAAAATCAAAACCGCATCCCATGGACCAGAGCTTTCTCATTAGATCTGGAAATTCTCTGGAGAGTTACAAAAGTTCTGCCCAGAGAAGTCTCTTGAAGTCAGGGAATTTGACCCATCTGCACTAAAACCAGCTCCAAATCCCTTTCTGCTCCCAGCTCAGAAATGGGCTTACACTACTTTAATGTTTTTGTTAAATTCATGCTGGAAGTCCTTTTTAGATGAACTCCAGCTGCCAACTCAAAAAAGTTACAAGTCACCTTGCAAATATCTGTTCATCCAAAACTGATTTCTAGCATTTACTTAAGTTCATCTCTAACTGAAAAAGCAGATCCCATTTGATTACTGCTCCCCCGTGGAAGAAAATGGTGCGTTGCTGACTGTCCCAAAGTAAACAATTCAAGCATGCTTCCTGAAATTAATTTAGTAATTTATTTTTTATATCAGCCTTTGATCCATTGATCAGTCTCTTCTAGGCTTATCATCAGCAAACAAAGACGTGTACTTCTTAGGTACAACCCATCTCACTCTGGATTAGAAGCCTAGGTTCAATCAACAGGGCTATATGCTGCAACTCCCATCCACTGATGAGAGGAACAAAAGGTACCCTGGTATTTATAGCTCAGATGTAAACAGCGCTATAAAATAAGATACATTCACTAAATTGTCACTTCCTGTGCTGGGGAAATGGTAAGGAAGGCAAATGGCAAGGAAGGCAAATGTCAGCACTATGAACAGAGTGACTGACCTCAGAAGTGGGTCCCTCTACATTTGTTTAGAAACAACTTTTTGGGGCAATGTAGCATCCTCAGAAGTAAGACTTCAGAAAAAAAATAAGAGCAGATCACTTCACAGACTTTCATGTTTCATTAGCCAACTTTTTTTTTTCTTTTTTTTTTTTTTTTTTACCATAACAGAAAGCACAGCCTGTACCCACAAGGACAGATGGGTTGGCTCATGCTGTTAGCACATCATGATAAACAGCAGTAAACAGGCATAAAGCACAAGCATAAAAAAATAAAGAAAAACAGTGCAACTCATCAGAATTAATCACAGAATGGTCGAGGCTGGAAGGGACTTCTAAAGATCATCTACTCCAACCCCCTTGCTGAGCAGGATCACCTAGAGCACATTGTGCAGGATGGCACCCAGGCAGACTTTGAGTATCTCTGATGAAGGAGACCTCACAAGCTCTCTGGGCAGCCTGTCCCAGCGCTCTGTCACCCTCACAAGGAAGAAGCGTCCCCTTGTATTCAGTTGGAACCTCCTGTGCTTCAGTTTGTGGCTGTTGCCTCTCACTCTGTCGCTGGGCACAACTGAAAAGAGCATGGCTCTATCGTCTTGCTGCTCTCCCCTCAAATATTTATACACACTGATGAGGTTAAAAGGTTAAAGAGCCTTCTTTCTCAAGGAGCAACTCCAAGACACCACAGTAGATTATTCTCTCCTATTTACTGTGCACTGAGCTGTGTCAGGGGAGGATCATAGCATGTGTGAGGAAAAACAGCCTTGCTGTGTGGACACTCAGACCATGGGATGTGATCCCGGAGAGGTGCCCCACACCTCTCGGTGCTCAGGAGGCATTTGGATGCTGCCCTTATCGGTGTTCCAGCAGGGTTTTCCCCGAGGGGAGCAGCCCCGGACCTACCTGCCCAGCCTGCCGTCGGCTGCCCTGCCGGAGCTCTCGTCCCTCGCCGCGCCGCCGTCCTGGCTCTGCCGCCTCCGCTTCCCATCCGCGCCGCGCTTCCTCCCCTGGCACCACCGAGGAGCAGACTGCGGGCTGCCGGCGGACAAGACAAAGCCGTTATTTCCATCTCTATTAAAAATAAATAATAATAAAAAAAAACACAACTCCCCGCAACGACGCGGCGTCCCCTCACCGAGGGGCCAGCGGCTCGCAACATGGCGGCGGCGGCGCCCCCCTCATGAGGCGGCCGCGCTGAGGGGGAAGCGAGGGAGGGAAGCGAGGAGGAAGGGGGTGAAAGGAGATGGCCGAGGGGGACCTCCGGGCTCCCCCATGGCTCCTACCTGGCGGTCTCGGCGCCGTGAGGGCTCCGCTGCCGGGCAGCCATGGCGTGAGGCGGCAGGGAGCACAGCCGGCCCCGCTTCACATCTCCCGCCGCCGCAGCGCCGAGCCCGCCTCCCCGCCGGCCCCTCCACCGCGGCGCCCCGGGGGGACACACGGGCGTGTGGAGGGCTGAAGAGGGGGAAAATGCGGCCGCCGGGCCGCCGTCGAGCCTCACCGAGAACCAAGAGGGCTCCTCGGTGGTTGATGGAGGAACGGGAGGCTTCAAGGCGCTCCCGGCTCCGTCCCCGTCCCCCCCGCCGCCATGGTTGGGCCCGGCCCGGGGCGTGTTGGCGGGAGAGCCAAGCGCGGCCCCCGGCAGCGCCATGGCTGAGGCACCTCCCTCTCAGCGCCAAAACCCCCCCAAAAAAAGGAGAAAAAGGGAAAGGGGAGGCTGGCCGGGATTTAAAGGTTAGGGCCTGGAGGCAGCAGGACGGCTCTTTAATACAGGAGGAGGAGAAGGGTATTTAAATGGCCGCTTCTAGCCCACACTCAAGAGCTACAGTGTAAATTTATGTCTTATGAAGAAACATAACCTTAAACAACAATTAAAATCAGTATTGAATAACATTGCTTATGCCATAAGGTCACTAAACTTCTAAATAAGTGGGGTTTTTTGTGTTACTATAATTTCAAGCACAGGCATCACGAATTCCCATGAACCTGTGAGACCTGCTACAGGTTGACATTTACCAGAAACTGTCTGGAAAACACCCCCAGTAAAACACAAACACACTTTTAAATAAAATATCTTTCTTTTATTATTTTTGAAATGTAATAACGGCCAGATTTCTGCTGATTCTGTCAGCGTTCAAAAAGTGGCAAGGTGGAAACAGGAACGGGATGTTTATCTAAAGACAACACGTAATAGTCATTCTAGATTTCTGGTTGTAAATTTACTGCTGTCAAGGGGTTACTTCTCAGGAACTGTAAGCTTTTTAAGAACCATTGTCATCTGTGGCCATAGCAGCACTCTCTTGCTGTAGAAGCTGGCACAATTTTGCATTAATTCTAAGAATGCAGTTTCCTGCATCACAAACCCAGCAATCTTGCCCTGACCCAGGTGGCCTCTCCATTAGGGGCATTTGGTTACCACCTGCAGCATGGGATAACTTGTTTTCCACTATCCATGTCTTCATCATGTCTTTTAAATAAATAAGAAAAAAAATATTACCACTGTACAGCAGCTAACTTTGAAGGTAAACGCATCTTAGATGTCCTGCTTTCAGATCTTAGTGTTTTACTGAGCATGGAGCCAGCTTGTTGTCACAGAACAGCATCTCGGAAACTTCCTACAACAGACCTCAAAGAGAAAAAGCACAGGACCTGTCTGCAAACTTTGAGAAAAAAAAAACATGAGGCGTCTCTGGGCATAAGAGCAAAAGGAAGAGGTCAGATATAAAGGTCTCAGATCAGCACAGGGATCACTGCAGTATTACCTATGTGCTCTTGAAGGCCGATAGGAGGCACCTACCAGCTCTGAGAAGCTCAGCATTGCCCTGAAGTGGTGAACATCCTCTTCATGGTGATTTACAGAGCTCACTGTCTCTTGTCTTTCTGTAACAAGCGAAACTCACACTATTAATTTCCTCCAAAAGGTCCAAACGCTATTTAAGCACTTGGCTAAACTTTCTTTTGCAAAGCTGGGCCAAACAACGGATGGATGAATAGAGACATTGCCACAAACCTCCCAGCAAAACGAACAGCTTCAAATTGAAAGTGCTCTGCCTGCTTGCCCTTGTTGAGCTGCACCAAGCCAGACCAAGAGTCTTCAGCCACTAGTTTGCAATAGCTTTTAGACTGTAAACAGTTTGAAATCTCAGCGGGTAGGTGGCTTGTTTTGAGTTTTTGCATTATTTTGCTTAATTTTACAAATGGAAGAAAAGCAAAACCATTGAGAATGCACTGAAATTAATTTTCACTTATAGAAAATTCATCTGCATTCTCATTATATACATATATACACACACACACCAAAAAATACACACTTATATAAACAACTATACACTTGTAGGTGTTCTTTTTGCTGTTTCATTATGCTCTTTGGGTAGTATCCACATACTTCGTGCTCCTGGCTGAAACCAGTAGTATTTAGGGAAGATGCAAGGAGAACTGAGTTTACTTTCTATCACCTCATGCTCTTCCCCTTCCCTCCCCCCAGAGTTTGTACACAGGTCCTGCATTTTTCTCCTCTGCAAGAGCTGTTGCAGGATGCCTCCAAGTTGCCCCTCTGTGTGCGATAACAATCAGGCTGGCTCTGCACTCAGTAAAATTCTAAGACATGAAAGCAGTACAATTTAAGTGATGTACCCATCTTGGAAGTTCCTTCCCCTTTGCCCACATCTCTTGTTCAGCATTTGTATAATAAATACATGCTCGCACAGGAATGTTTCTGCTGCAGTAGCACTGCTCCTTTCCCACACCATACTACAGATAACAGAATTGTGTTTCTGGACCAAGGACACTCTTGCAGCTCAGCGGAGGTTCAAAGCAGATACAAACCAACCCATTTCTTCCAGTCTTGCTCTGAAATAAGTTGACTTGTTTACCTGAACTCATCCAAGCTCCCAGTAGAGAATGGTCCCAGCCTAGAAGATGCACAGTGCTGTTAGCATAGCACTGCGTTCAGTTTACTGAGCAAAACTATCTGCTGGAACACAGATTAGGGGTTACAGCTGCCTTGCATCTTTTCTGTCCTTTCCAGCAAAGAAAATCCTTCAGAAAAGCACTCTGACACTCCAGTGGGAATCTTAAGGGAACAAGGAGATATCTTCATCGTTGTGACCTCAAAAGGAACAGTTTTTTTTGTTCTTGTTTTTAAAAAAAGACACAGTGGCATTTCAGAACTGCTAGTGAAGGACTGTTTCTACAAGCACAGATAACGTATCATCTGTAAGGTAATTCTCCCAGTGGAAGATACGTGTCACTTCTTGAAAGAAATTTAAACCTGACTGGTGAAGTTTGGAATTTATTTTGGCATAATTACAAACTGAGCACAGAATTACACAAACTGCATTTAATTAAGAGGTAAAAGTAATGGAAAACTATCAACTGGAAACTGAGCATGGAATACTAAATTTCAGCTTTGCTTTCCTGAGTTATAAATCCTTACATCAAATAGTTTTGGATAGATAAACAAGCAAATGGATGGATTGCATTCAAGTTTTAACTGCTCTATTTAGACTGATAGTGTTGCTAATTAGAAGGTGTTGATATGGTTCTGTATCCAGTGGCAGCACTGCAGGAGATGACTTTAGTAGACCTCAAACCTTATCTGTTCAGTATCATTCCTTTCATTATGCTATCATAGCTCGTCCAACAGTGTGGAACCTGGATTAGGGAACAAGCCTGTCCAAAATGTTACTGCCACAGGCAGATTGGTTGTTCTAATCCTAATTTAAGTACCTTCAACCAAGAAACACACATTAAGAACTGACTCATTACAAATCCTATGGATTTGTGTCTGTAAGTCAGCTGCAGACCTCATCTATCACAAACAAAAGCTTCAGGGCTCTGACAGCTGAGCTTAAACATTTTGTGATAGCCCATTACCCCCAAGTGACAGCTCCACCTGCCCCACAAGGACACCTTTCTCCTGGCAGAATGGGTTCTGGAACCTCAGCTTCCCCCTACCACCAAGCTACAATGCATTAAATGCAAGCCCACGACAAGATGTCAAAATACAAACTGAGGAGTTGGACTCAATCCCTCCCCTTTCAGCAAGAACTAGACCCCCATCCAAAAAAAACACCCTAAAGCAAACAAAAGACTACCAAACCCACATATGCCTTTTATAATGGAGCACCGACAAATGCAACATGGAAAAATGACTAACAGGGATTTTTAAAGTCTTTAATTCTTCTGCATAAAGACAATATGCCAAAAACATAACATTCTCATATGTACAATCATAAAGCACATGGAAGCATGCACACTAGAACAACAATGGTCTATATATTACTTTAAAAGGTGCTGTACAGATTTCTACCCCATATACACACCCCATGCTCAGCAGTAAGTTACTGAGCCACGTTGTGCTGGGATACTACCAAACCCCATGCCTAAGCACGGACAGATGAGTCCCAACAGCCACAGGAACTACACAGGACAAAAAAGTCACCAACCCATAGGCAGTTTCCCTCCACCCCACAGCAGTGAGAGGTTAACTCACTTTTTAAATAGCAGAGGCCCCAGCCTCTTCCTGTGTTTGGGAACAGAGCGCACAGCCAGGACATTCTTACCACTGAGCAGTAGCTGTGACCTAACACGCTTCTGTTAAAGCAGCAGCACACATTCCCCTACCTAATCGAAGTTTGTTCTTTGTTGGGAACTGTCAAACTCATGATAAATAACCACAGCAGTGAATTTCTGTGCACGTGACAGGCCTTGGTGAAGGCAATCTAATGTTCCAGCCCACTGCAATAATGCTGTTTGCAGTCAGGTTTTCCTAGTGCACTGGACACATCAGAATTGTGCCTGAAAATCCCAAACAAGCACAGAAATCCTGCAAAAACTCACCTCAAAAAGATTTTAGCAACAATTGGAAATATGGTTTTGGAAGGGACTGGAAGTAGTTCCTGAGGAAGCAGCTTACTTCTGCTTCAGCAGCATATCTGGCTTCTGGCCCTTGGGTACATTGCAAGCCCCACAACAAGGCTACTAGGCACCATCCCTAGGCCACAGTTTCTGCAGAGGCCTTACAAAGGGCTGCAACAGCAAAGCTGAACTACTGCAAAGAGAATTCCCAGCTCTAACAGACACTTGTACCTCATACATGCTACATAAGTCACAAGGTCTGTAAAAAATTCTTCCAATTGAAATAGTTCTGCTCTAAACTCCACTGGAGCCACAGCCCTCACTTTTGAGGTTTTCAGCACAGTGATACAAAGGTAGAGCAAGGGAGAGTCAAGACCATTGTGGATTTCAGCCAGGACACTCCATGCCCCAAACCTGCAAATACTGCTGGCTGTCATCCATTTCTTGTAACAATACCACTGCCCTCATCTACTTTCAGCAGTAGATTGTTTTTTCAGGACATGCTGCAACACACATGAAAGTGCAATCCAGGTATTCAGACTGTGTTGCTGTTCAGCCACTCATCCCCTCAGAGATGATTATAATCCCCACAGTTGATTATAATAAACCATCTACCTTTCCCCTTCTCTCCTCTCACTTAGGCAGATGCTAGCTTAATGCGTTTTATCTCAGAGAACGGAAAATAAGCTGAAAAGGTAATCGCCAAAAGTTAAAAGCAGTCTGTTTTTAGCAACTGAAGAAAGGCTGGAATTATCTACATTCTTTTGAAGCAGTTCTCCAGGTTGCATGTACAATCACGGTCCAGTAGAACAAACAGGGTTTTAAGTCCTTGGTTTAACAGGAAGTATTCTTCACTCTGACTCAATATTGGACCAATTCAGCAGCAAAACATCAGTTCGCTTTATGCAGCATGGTCTCCAAATAGCGACGGGAAGAGCCATCAACTGAAGTAGACTTTACAGTATGGTGCAAGTCATCTGTCAGTGCAGGTCAAGAAGAAACAGTCTCACAACTTTAAGGAACATCCATCATCATCTTAGCAAAAGCTTAATGAAATTTGAGGTTTTACACTTGAGGCAGAACTCGCAGAAGACAATCTATCCTTAAAGATCTGGAGAAACCTAAAACAAAAGGCAGATAACATTTTATAAATACAATATTATCTAGTCATTAACAGCAAAACATTACTCTCCTAAGCTGTGGTATTACAGTACAAATGGATCAGAGCATTGTACAGGGTGAATTTAAAGCACAGTGTAAAAGACACAGCCATACTTTCCATACTAAAGGAAGTGTTACAGACTGCATGAACACTTTGAGAACGTAACTTACTGTAAAAAGAATACATACCTGATATAACTAAACTATTTGCCAATAAGAAAATGAAACAGCTGAGCCTATATCCCAACCCCTTACATCATCTTCACCTAAATATTTACTACTTCAAAAAATACATTTCTCTCAAATCTAATCAACACATTCCCGACATGTGTCCTACTATATTTTTTTTTCCTCTTTAAAAAGCAACCAGATACATTCAAAATTATAGACATGTAACAGGGCTCAGAACAGCTCCATTTTTTTTTTCCTGAGACCAAAACTCCAAGTAGAAATTTTCAAAAATGGAGCGGAGTGGGGTTCTCTCGTAACTCACAAGCTGGTTTTAAAGCAATATTCGCTTTCCACAGATATGTCAGAAAGCTCCTGCCATTTGAGAGCTAGAGCTCATCACTCCTGAAAACTATTGTAAAAGGTGTTGTCTCTCTCTGAATATTGATCTCTGTATCCCAGGCAATCTAGGTGTTGTCTCAGAGAGAAGCTATTTAATTCACGTATTTTATGTGCCACAAAGATAGCTTTTCAATTAGAATGAGTGATTACAAACCCACTGAGCATAAACAATCATTATAGCCTTGTTTAAAACAAAGACAACTACAAAACAGATAAATATCAAGTGACTACCCAGAAGACCAGAAAGGTTCCCAACTCTGATTATAAATGCATGCTTTTTTCACCTGCTCATTTCACCTTGTGCTGATTGTACATATGCTGACTGTAAATCCCTTCTTCTTTCAGTGCAGAATTTATGAGACTTTACCAGTCTTTCAAGTCTTGATCCGCTGATCTCGTGCTGTATCATATTCTTCAAGTCATTCTGTCACAGGAGGAAAGTCCTTCTTTGATAGTTCTATATACAAAGACAGACTAAATATTTACAAATACTGAATTAGCAGTTTAGAAAAAGTAACACATTAGGTCATAGTCAAGCTCAAAGAATTTAACTTAAAAATCAATTGAGCCAACAGCAAAGATGTTAGTAGAACAACTTTTTTTTTAGAGAGTGCTACCTGCCTTTTCCTCATATTCTTAGGGGAATGCAAAATTTAAGTAGTGTAAAACTAGTTATGCAGCACATTTTTAATAAGGCGATATTTTAATGATTTTATTATGCAATATATTTCATGATAATGACTGTTAAAGACATCTGTATTCTATTCCATATTTCAGTCTTCCTTAAGCGTAGATCAAATTACATAAAATACTATGTTCATAAAACTCTGACTCAAGATACAAACCATCTTATTAACGCAACAAAAGAATCTACAGTTTAAAAGAGAACTTTCATTGAAACCTATTGCTGCAAATGCAGAGCTGATTTCATCACAAAATACTAAAGGCAGAAAATCTGCTATTAAAATAGTTAAAAAAAAAAATGGCAGTTAGGTGATAAGACATGTTTTCTAACCAAACAAATATTTCAACTAACTCTGAAGTATTAGAACTTTTAAGGTACTGCACTAAATACAGGAGGATGAGAGGTTAACACTTATCATAAAGGAATAAAAAGAGAAACTGATCTGTTTGAACTGAACAGTTGGATTCTGTTGAACAATGCTGCATATGGGCTACTGAAACAGAATAGGTAAAACAAGTAGTCACCATGAACTCACCTTGATATTTAAATTCTTTTTGTCATTATTCTCTCTCCAGTGCTTCCCCATCCATTTTCAGAGTATTCTGGCTGATGTCCTTCCAGTAAACTGCTGCAAAGCTTAAGCCTACAAATAGAAATCCACATATTTTCCTTCTGTACCCCTTTTTCAATTCAAAATGATTAGGTGGCTTTATTACAGTAACTTTTTTTCTACTAAGAACAGTGATAACTTCCTACTTAATCTAATTGACTATCACAAGAGAACAGTAAGGATTGAATTTTACCAGCAACACATCCTTAAAACCAATAATAAAAAAAATAATGAAAGCTTGGATTGGAATATAGTAATACTGCAAGCTTGGTTCTAACTTAATATGTTGAAAAAAACAATTGATAAGCTGCATTTTATACCTCTCCAGCCTGCAGTCTGAATCTCTGAAAGTTTTGCTGTCAGGCAGAAAGATGCTTGTGTTTTTCTGTTTCTGGGCGTTCCATCCCGAAGAACAACTCGCTGGAATCAGGTCACTGCATAAAAACAAAGAACTGTCATTGTTACCAGCTGTAGAGCAGCTTCACTTCTGAGGAGAAGAAAGTTTTCAGCTCCTAGGCTTAGCAGGCTGGTAACAACAACAGGGACCAATTCTACGAATTGCCATTGCTTTCCGTAAGACAACAGGGGAAAGATTGCCAGCATCTTACAGCATTTCCTAATGGTGGAAGCAGCAGAAAGCAGTAGGTGGGGAGTTAGACTAGGAAAAGCCAGGTAAATTCAAAGAACGCAATTAACCATGTGTTGCAGGAAGGAGAAAAAAGCAGTATTATACAGGGATGAAAAAGTGAGATTAAAAAAAAAAAAGCCATGAACACCTTCACAGCATAGACAATTAGAGATCATCATTATAGTATTTACCTTGTTATTTCTATACCATGTTGTACTGTCATTACTTCATCATTGTCACCTAAGGTCTCCCACTCTGAACAATTCGAAAAAGCCCTCTGATGTCCTGATTCAGTAAAACTGAAAATAAAATGAAAAGGCCTGAAATCATGGAGCTTTGTATCATAGTTCCTCCTAATTCTTCAGAGGATAAGGGGGCTAAGTTGAGAAAAAACACAACCGTATAAACATTTTTACTAACGTTTGTGAAAAAAACTACTCACCTCCCTCCCCCCACCCCCCAACTTAAAACATTGGATCATGGCTGCATTTTTTGTGGTTCTGACACAACTTTGTATAGAGTTAAACCTCATTCTCCTTTATTAACTTATTTTCCTGGAAGATTTTTACACCAAAACTAGGAAAGGGAAGGAAGAAATAAGATCAAAATCAATCACTAGAGCAGAAGTGCAATTCCTGAGCAACTTAAAACAAACAAAAAAAAAAAGGTACTAGCCTGAAAAACTCTACCTTTCTGTTACATATTTTTGAACATTAACCTGACTCTGGTCACCCAGCCTGGGACTAGGACAATTCTGTTGTGCCAGTAAGTACTTTTTCCTCACACTACCTTTCATAAGCAAGGAAAAGCTTTATCAAAATACAGAAGGGATATGAAGAAAGAACTTTTCATAAATATAATTTCCCTGTAATATCTGTAGTAAATTTAACAGGGTAGTAATTTACTAGGCAGCAAGCTTCAATATTTGCTGATTTATGAATGCACATTTTTTTGTGCATTCCATTCCTCTACTATAACATTCATTAACTTCTATATAGCCAAACTTCTGCATGCCAGAAGGTAGAATGCAGTGCACATAACACGTACAGAAAATAACTACTGTAGCCACAATAATTTCAGAATTACAACCACTGAAGCAGAAACTACATTCTATGTGGAATCAAGAGCAAGACATTAATGTCATCTGAACATATACATAAAAAACCACCTGCCTCAAAATAACCTATGCTGTATCTCCTGATGTTTTCTTCAACTCTGCAATAGAACACAGTGTAAATATATCCAATCATACAGCATAATTATTCTGGAATGAATTCCTGTCTTCATTAAATTGCACTATGTTTACATAAAATTAGAGCTATTAGCAAATGGAAGGATAAATTCCAGTTATATTCCAAGAGTCTGTTTGTAATACAAATGGATCACCACATGGAGAATCATTTCATACCTTTCCAGTGCATGGTACATATGCATATAATGGCTTTTGCCCTTTGAAACCACAGAAGGGTCAGGATTGTTTCGTTTTCTGCGTTTCCATACTGGAGAACAATCAGGAGAGCAGGAACTACAAAAATAAGATGAAAAACACTGTGTAAAAATTCACATGCATTTAAATGCTTATCAGTTTTGCAAAGTAACACCATGTGATGCATGGGAAGATTTTTTTCCCTTTGTGGTATGATTCTTCAGTCATAACAAAGGAGTACTGAAGAAGAAAATGGCTCAAATCTGGTAATCACTCTATTGTATTCTGAAAACTGAACCCAGTCAGAATTGCCCAAGAAACTCCAGTGAGCTTGGAAGTGGCACCATTTTCAGCACACACAACTCCCAATTAAAGTAGTTCAGTAGAAAGGTGAGTGCATGAGGTGCTTCGGTTTTACACTCCCTGCTCATCTGCTGACAAACACAGTGCTGTTAAAACACAAAAGCAGAAAGAATGCTGCTCTCTTCTGCTGTTCATCAAGCAATTCTGCAATTCTCGTAGTTTTTCCCCATTCAATGCTCTGTACCATAGATGGCCTACATTCAGCACTGTGAACGTGAAGCTCAGTCCCAGCATCAACCGCTCCATCACTAAACATTTTCTACAAAAAAAAAAAAAAAAAAAAAAACCCTGACAGCAGCAACATGTATTTAGTTATCTCAGTAAGCTGATCAAAGTTTTATTTCATACCTCTCCAGTGCATAGTCTGGCTGGCTGTGTTGGTTTCCACACTCATTTCTCTTCAGTTTTTCATCAAACATGGGGAAAACAGAATCATCACGATCTCTGCAGAACCATTCCTGAGAACTGCCTGAAGGTTCCGTATTACTGAAAAAAAAATAAAAAAAAATTCTGGATTTAAAATACTACACAGCTAGCTTACTGCTCCAAAATGACACAAAAGCTGCTGCAGTGGTTCATGGCTCATGTCATACAACACCCAGATGGTGCAAACAACTGCAGCTTCCACTGCACGTCTATCAGAACACAGCTAAAAACTATTTACACACCGCAGTTATAGTGCTTACAGAAGTACATTCACTCTTCTACTCCCACTTTACTAGTCCAAAACTTGTAAAATGTTAAGTGGTGTGAGTGAATGAAGCTAGCCTTGTTACAGAAATTCAAAGGTATGAAAAAAAATAAAAAATTTCCATCTTGAACACAGCTGCCAGTCTCCTGCAAAAAACACAGAATTCTCTCTAATCTTCACAGTATTCTTTAATTCTCTCACGTATCATTATCGCAGGACAGTGGTTCTGCTGACAACAGAAAAAGGAACGATGGAAAGCTTGTCAAGGTCAAAGAACAGTAATGACCAGATTTCTACTTATTCTTATCCCTTTCTAAGATAATTTTATCTTGTGCTGACTGGTGTGAACGCACAGGGGAATACTGTGTTCTGCCACAGAGAGACCAAATGCGTTCTTCCTTCAAGTGGAAGGAGATTCATCAGAGATGAATTTAGACTAAAAATGGACTTGAAGATTAACAGAATTCAATAAAATAAAGTTTTCAAGTAGGTCCCCATTCCTGAGTCTGAAACTCGTTTCCTCTTCAGCTCCTACTTAGGAGCACTCTGAAGGAAACACAGAGTCTTCCTGTGAAGCAAGAGGTGTGCTTCTGACCAATTCACCAATACATACACCGGCTGCAGATCCCAGGTCTCTTCAGCAGGAGGATCCCACGCGTGCAGTGCTATCTTCCACAGCCTGATCTGCTGGTCCCAGGATCTACGGCTGTACTTCTTAAATTTGTTGGGTGTTCGAGGATGCACTCCCGGTATTCGTTGATTCCTGTAAATACACAGTAATGTTTGTACTTCAAGATATTATTTTTATTCTTAAAAATCCTGTCTAGCAGATAAAGCAAGCAGCAGTGGTCTAATAGTTTTCCTATTTCTAAACACTTACACTGAGATATGTAAATTCTAAAGCATTGTTGACAACAGACTGCACAAGCAACAACAAAATACTGAATCAGACCATAGCTTCATTCAGTCCAGCAAGACACCAAAGCAGGTGCCTACTGGCTGCAGACAAACAGGAAACCAAAGAAACACACTTCAGTAGTACCCTAGCCTCTGGATACTTCTATCTCAAACTTCATGAATCTTGTCCAGTTTCTTTGTACTCACTGTTGTACTGGGCATAGCTGGGATGGAGTTAGCTTTCTTCATAGGTACCCCTGCTTCGCTGTGTTTTGGATTTACAGCTAAACAGTGTTGATAAGAAACTAATATTTTGCCTACTAATTTGTCTCTCTTTTTCCCTGATCTGCCCAGCTCCGTCCTGCAGCCAGTAAGCTGGGAAAACAGCTGTCACAGCTGACTCAAATTGCCCAAAGCAGTATTCCATATTATATAACATCAAGCTCAGCAACAAGAACTGGGGCAGAGGAAGAAGAGGACGTGTCTTCCAATGTGGCTGCTTCTCAGAGACCAGCAGGCTGTCAGTATTCTTGTGTAAGTGATTGCCTTTGCATCCACCAAGTTTCCCCCTCCTCCTTTCCATCACCTATTAATTTTCTCTGATCTCAATCCATGAGCTTTCTTAATTTTGCTCTCCCTATTCCCCCTCCAAGCCACTGAGAAAGGGGCAGTGAGCAAAGAGCTGTGTGGGTACATGGCTGCCAGGGGTCAACCCACAAGTGTCTTCGCTGAAGACTTCTTCCACTCATTATTACAAGGTGGATTGCTCTACTTCTAGAGAAAAACAGCATTTTTCCTTCGGGAGCATGGAGAGCTGTGTACCCACATGCTCCAGCTAATTCACAAATGGTGTTCCTTTCCTAAATCATCACTGGGTAGATGCTGTAACAACGCTGTCTGGGATCGAGCAGTGACCAGAGGCAGTATTTCTCAGATGGTGCCTCCAACTCAGACTCTGACCACCACTAAGTTCACTCAAACCCTGGCTCCAGTACAAAATACTGTTCACAGGAACAAAAACATAATCATGCTTTAAATCACACAAAGCACCTTTACCTCAAGTAGTTCTCCCTACCACCTTCACAGATCAGTAGAATCATCCACTGCAGTTTTGCTATCATTTTGTAAGATAAATAGATCCCTGCTTAAGAACAGTATTATTAACTGCCTTGTTAAAATGCCACCCAGAAAACTTTTAAAATAGTTTATCCATTATTTTTTTGTTTCCCTCCTCAATGTTCTCACCTCTTCCTGTTTTCCACCTACAATTTAACTGATCACAGCACAGCTATGCAGCAGCCAGGCACCACTGTAAGACTGGCTGCAGTCAGTCCTATCACTGATGACACAGAGACAAGCAAAATCACAATTCAAAAGGCAGTCTGCAACTCTGAAGAAAGAACTTTACTGAAGATGCGTGCATTATATTGTGGAATATCTGTGGTCATTTATGACACCTGTTGTTGATATTTAATCAAGTTTTTAATATTTTGTTCAACAGAAAGCTTGCTGCACTCACTGCACTGGCTGGCAATTTTCACCATAGACTCTTAAAGGCAGAATCCAGAGAACACAATTCTAAGTATCAAGTCACATTAAAACCAGAAACTCTACATAACTACCTCCAAAACTGAAAACCAAGAACACAGATGCACATCCACATGTTACTGCAGAGCAGTTTCTGAGTCCTGATAGGTCTGCAGTAAGCAGAGGGGACTAAGAAGTCTTCAACTTCCACAATTCATATAAAAAAGCCTGAAGTGGAATAACAAAGATGAAAAGAAATCCAAGTTCTGATTTCAGTTAGTTACTGACAAATCATTAAAGATTGGTTGCTCTTAACAATACTTAAATGCAAGGCTTCATTCATTCCTCACAGATAGCATTTCCTGGTATCAATTAACTTCGTAATGGCCTACCAACAGTCACCAGAAAGGTCTCATTAAAAATCTGATTAATACAGATATTTTTTCAAGCATGATTGCCACTATACCAACAGCAATACACAAATGCAATATTTAGCTTTAAAACTTTACTAACTAAATTTGCTCCTATACAAAAAAAAATCTGACTTCTCTATAAAGAAAATAATTGATTCGAGTTTTCTTCACTTATCATTCCTATTACTTCAAGCAAACTGAAGCTGTGTGCTCACCTACCCATGTCACAAAAAAAAAAGTATTTGGAAACGTGCAACACGGTACAACTTACTTTGGAACTTCTTTAATATATCTGTCATATGCAAGTGTGTTCTTTCCAAAATTGATCTGTTTTTGTCTTCTCCTCAGAACCACTTCATCTGTTTCCCTTTCAGATGGATTAGCTGAATCATTTGAAACAGAACTTAAAAACAAAAGTTAGAATGAGACTGTTGTAGAGCTATTAAGGTGCTTTTCAAGTCACATAAACATACAGTCTGCAACTGCAATGACAGACAGTGGGCAGAACTCTCACTTCGCTAGTTTACACAGAGCTGAAAGTTGGACTAACCAAACCAGCCACTAGAACAAACTGACGGGGGTTTTCTAGGTTAATGCAATTGCTCATGTTTGTAATAAGCAGACATACTTGAGGCTACTTAGTGCCAGAGCTGCCTTACAACAAGGAAATCAAGTTGTGCATGATTACTGCGTACATGAGTAACAACCTCCTAGTATACATTAAAAATCAGCTCAGTAAAACAAAGATGGATAATATAAAGGCTTGAGTGACCTCATGGCCATTTCTCTAAGCCTAGAAAATTGGTTTTCATTTTCCCACCTCACTATCTCTATTTTCTTGGACAGACAATTGTAATATGAAATTTAACCTAAAAAGGAAGAGAACTTGCAATGATCACACAAACAGCTTTTGAGTTCTCCAGGCTACTCTCTACTTAAGGCTTCCTTCAGGCTTAATATGAAAAAGCCTGTCCGTATTTCAAGTCTTCGTTTATGCATGTAGGTGAAAATCATCAGATGGTTATTGCTAAAACCACACAACAGTAATTTAGTAATTATTCAATACTTACTTTGTCGTTTTCCTAACAGACGTTCTCATTGTTTTGCCTTCTTCAATTCCACCTTCCCATTCAGGGCAATTATAAAGAGGCTGAGAATCGTCTGCTGTCATAGTCCTGGAAAATCAGAACTGCGTATGAACATTTGTTGCTCATAAATATTTAAGTGACAGAACCTTCAGTGGTGGACAAATGCAGCTTCCTACTCCATTTTAGTTCAAAGTCAAACAAATTAAAACATTTCAACTTAAGTCACCTTTTGTGGCAATGTAGTATAATTGGGTTAACTTTGCAGGAAAAGAAAACAGTCATAAAGTTTTATATCAAAACATAGACCTTAATCTCTTAAAACATTCCCAGCTTAGCTACTGCCAGTAGTTCTCTCTACAGCTCCAAAGAGCACAATAAACGAAATTATGTAAGGTCAAAAATCTTTCACTGGCAAAGGACTTCATAAAGGACAGGAGAAATGGAGTAGATTAGAAAAATGTCTATCACCCAAGCAGAACTAATATCCTGACAGACACCTGTATTTCATACTTTCCTGGCACACCATTTCAAGAATGTAAGCTCTGCCACATAAGGGCAAGAAGGGAGCCAGGAAGCTGCTTAATAACTAGTGGATTATTGATATTTTCTGAGTGAAGTGACACACACCTGTTGCAGTTAAAAAAAACAAACACAGTAAATAAAAACTGGAAAATGAAGCAATATCCTAGGAGGGTCAGAAGTTTTCCTTCAGACTGAAGTCTGTCCACTTCTTTAAGCAATAATGCCTCAACTTTTAACATGAAGTAAAATAAAGTAGATTTAGTTTACAGTGTAACCTCCCTGAACTGTTTTGCATCAACAGCTGAAGTGACCATCGATGCTGTTAAAATAATTTTAACACTACATGGCATGAAGATCCAGCACAAAGGAATTTATCTATTCAACCAAAAAGAAACAGTATGTTGCTAACACATCTGTTTTGATTCACAATCATAATGTGCCATTGTTTTTTTTTTTTTTTAATGACAGCGTTAAGAGACACAGGAAACACTCCTGAAGATAAGATTATTTTTCCTAACCTCTTCAAAAAGAGTTGTTTATTAACTGAAACAATATCAAACACACCATTGGAAATTATAAGAGCCACTTTCGTATAATGCAGTACTCAGATGTACAAAGCACTCAGAAGTTTTCATGTATCTTCACTAAAATATTTAACTTCTCCTAACTTATGTTCTATGCAATATTCTGCAGGTATCCAAGCATTCACCACTTCTCATACTTCCTGTCAGACATTAAAATACCAATTTCAATCAGTTCTTCTGCCTGAGGTCTTTAGTCCAGAATATCCAAGAAGCAAAGCAAAATACTCATGGAACTACCTACCTGTAATATTTGATTTCATAAAGTTATTATCAACACTAGACTGCAAAGAAAATAGTTATTTACTAAAAGTTGCAGTAAAGCTGAATGCACTGTCAAGAGAAGAGACTACATCATAGTTTGCCCCACTCACGTAAAGATGCACAAACAAGCAAAGCATAAAAATTAACAGCATATATCTTCCATAGGAGTTTTATACTAACACTGAAAACATCAATAATAAAGAGCTTAAGCTACTGCTTCAGTATATACAATTACTTTCATAATCATTACTTGCTGATATTATGGCATGTATTTCAATTAGCCAAACTTAATGGTCTACTGTTGCAGATATAGTTTGCTAACTGTGTGCTATGGCATTACAAGAAAACATTGAATTCGATCGCATCCCAAGCTTCGTCAAATTGCTTAAGACAAGCGTGCCAAGTGAGTATTTAAACAAGTTTGACATGCATTGCTTACCTCTCCAACCACTGATCTACATGGCTACATTGATACTGATCAATTCCCAAAGAATCCGAATCATTCCAGCTTCCACATTTCTGTTCTTGTTGCCAGCAGTCTGGATCTTGCATGTAACTAGAAAATAAGAATTTTCATTAAGTCACAGGGAGTCACTGAACACTGACTATGTAAAACAGGGTATCATCATTTATAGTTACAAAATGCTGATTACTTTGGCAGGAGATATGCAATTTGTGCCAAGTTATTCATTCAGCAATGCTATCTTGGAGAGTGTGTTCAATAATGCAATTACTGAGAAAAGAATCTTTTACTACTGCAGTTATGACACCTGAATTTTAAAATAGACTGCTCATTTTTAGAAAAGCAGAAGTACCCTTTCTCTATTTGGGATAAAAAAAGGGGGAAAACATAACTGAAGACCTTCAATAGTGTTTATAGAACTGCTGATGTGTGCCAACATTCACAGTTTGCAATACATTAGTTTACATTTATATACTAGTCTATTTATCATTTAATGCTTGGAAGAACCAAACGTACAGAATTATGACTTTTAACACAGGAAAACGGCACGTTTAAAGAGACTTAGGTCAACCGTTGACATGGAAACACTTTTACACAGGAAATAGTTTACCAGACACTGCCTTGGGGTCCTCACAAGCACGGAAGGAGCTAACGTGAGGCACTTGTAACAGGCTGAAAGGACAGCTGAAAGATTAAGTTACCTAATTCTTCCTTGCCTTCCTCCTCAGTTCTGGCGGCTCTGACATCTTAAATGATAGGTTACTAAATAAAACAGCTCCACAGCCCTGGCTTCTGCAGTAAGAACCTGCAGCTCTGCCAGCACCTCCCTGAGAGAAGGAGCCCGTGCTGCCGGCTCCACACTCCAGGCACACAGACCCTGCTCCTGTGAGGTAACTGCACTTTTTTAAGTCAAAAAGTGAAAGTGAGCGCTTTGTTATTGTAAACCTGTCTTAACAGCCTAGCTTTTCTTCCTCCACCCAGACTCGCTTTCGACACATTTCGTGACACATTTCCATTTCGACTCACTTTCGACACATTCCTTTTCGCAAAGACAGTTAAAAGACAAAACGCCTCCCTAATCACCCGCGACAATTACCCAATTAAAAGACCCGAAACAAGCAGCATTCAAACCCCAACCAAACCCCCGAGCCCCTCACCACTGACCCTAATACACACCACCAAGGCAAAGCAGCACCTTTTCTCCTCACGACCACGAACCGAGCCCCCCCCCCCTCAACCCCATCTCCCCCCAGAAGCCGCCCTGAAGGAGCCATACCCTCACCCCCAGCCCTCCGGGGGACTCCCACCTGTGCAGCCCGCCGTGCCCCCCGCCGCCATCGCAGCGCGGCAGCCCCCGCCGCCCGCCCGACATGGCTGAGGCGAGCCCCGCCGCCGCCGCCGAACATGGCTGCCGGCCGGGCACACGGCGCAGGCGCGGCAATGGCTGCCTGAGGGGAGCCGCAGAGCGGGCTTCTCTCTCATTGAGTTATTTTATGCAGCCCTCCTCATTCATACTATACTAGGGAAATGTATAAAAGAAGGAATTGTCAAGTGTTCCTTCAGGAGAATGTTAGCTCTTCTTCCACTGTCATATTCTGAGCTGAAACCACCGCAGTAAGTTGGTCTGCTTTCAACCCACCCACAGTTTTAACCACGAAACACAACTTAAAAAATGAAAACCAGAAGTCTTTCTTGCATAAAATCAACTGTATTTTTATTAATCTCTTCACAAAGTTTTAAAATGAACTACATGTATTTGTTAAGCCTTTAACATAAAGGCTATCCAATAACTCTGTTTTAAAATAGATAAACTGTTTGGATCAAAAAGCAACATAAATAACAAACCTTGTGGTATATCTTTGGAAGAAAATGTCTCGTAGTGCATGTCAGAGCTTGAATGTTCGTATCTCACCTCCTCAAATATCTCAAAATTTCTTAAGAAATGTCACTCATTAATTACTCGTGTAAGTTGAGGCTGACTGGAATGCTACATAGCTGCAGTGTACAACGCTTCAGCACAACAAAAATACTCGATTGGAAGTGATCACATAATAACCAGGTATTCTTGTTGCAGGTTTTGGCAAGCCTCCTGGTAAACAACTTCATTTACAGCATGGATTCCAACTATATCCTGCTTAGACAACATGCCTTTTGTGGGTTACCAAATTATGTTTGTCACTAACAAACATTTTGCCAGTATTATCTGGAATGCTACAATTACAGAAAACCAAACAAAACACAACTGTGGAAATAAATAATACCTATAGACACTGCCCATGTTCTCAGAAACACCTGTTCAGCTGCAGTGCATATGGAAATTTGGGCTATATATGTCTACATACATATGTGGTACTTACACCGACACTATGCAACCACGTATAACTTGTCATAATGTAATGACATTACATAATGTACTGCAGTTTACTAACATTACCTACCTACAGGTGCGTGATGGGAAGAACATGCAGCTGAAAAAGTATCTCCAAGTCACTAATAATAGAAGAACGTTTTATTCTTAAAGTAAATATTTTATGCCATAACATTACTCAGTTCATTTTTCTCTTAGAAAATTGCTGTAAAAATAACAATTCTAAACCCTACCCCTTTGTTTAAGAAACGTATCATGGTTGGGCGGGAGGCAATGTGTTTATTTTTTACTGCAAGCAAAATGAGGACCTGAAGCTATCACGAAGACAAATTCCTATTTTTATACTATATAAATTTCATGTTCAGTGAATTATGCAAGACAAATAAGATTATCAGATGACCTGTGTTAAGAAACCTGTCATGGTTTTTCCTTTTACTGTCTCTTAGAAGAAAATGTCATACAGATTTTTAACAAGTTAGTTCTGTAACATAGCTTTTAAAAAGCTTACCAACTTTGGAGGCATGCCAGATTATTACAAGAATTTAAACTTGGAAAAATGCTCGTTTTAAGGAATTTAAGACAGGCAGTATTATTAACATAAATCATTATTTTATTTTTGTAATTGTTACAAAGTTTTCTTAGAGGCACTTCTGTGGACAGAACACTACCATAAAAAATATGCAACAGTATTATACATTTATGACTCTTACTTTGCTGTATTGTCATACTGGCAAAAGAAATAAGATGGGTAAAATCAAAGTTCTACTGAAAGGAAAGCTTTCAATCAATACAAAGAAGATAGAGTTATCTAAAGAAAAACACTACTGCACAAGCAATTGGGAGACTAAAGCTTTTACTGCATGAGATATTACTGGCAATTGACTGTTTTTTTTTTAATATATATAAACATCTGCAACTACATGTGCTTATTGTCTAAAGTTCTCAAGGCCTTTATGATTTTAACTTCATACATCATTACAATAAATATTTTTATTCCAAAGAGGAAAAGAGATGTAGGAATTGGCTGTCATTGACAGAGTCCAGAATCCTACCTTCCCTTCTGCAGCTATTTCAAGGACCATATCCCTTATATATGTGCCATATTATGCAAACTTACCGTTAAGTAAATGGTTCAAAATGCTTATTTATAAAGTCTACTGTATAATAAGAAGGTGCATGTCAGGTGATACCACCTGGCCTTGTAGGACTCTTCAAAAGGTTAAAAAAAGTCCTGCAGAGATACTACTTCAAAATTCCAAATAACTTTTCTACAAAAGTACTGGAAAATTCACTCATCAGCTTCTTGATTTTCTACTAATTTTCAGACTTGACAACAAAACCGAAACTCAATTTTATACTATTCAGATGGCACATGCCATTTAAAATAAAATCATACTGCCAGTCGCAATGTTACATTTTTACTTTTTATGATCTGAAACAACATGTAATGAAAACCAGAAAAACCACTCTTATTAATAGGCAGTACAGATAATTGTGTAGTAAAAGTTGTATATGTAACAACTGAGATATATACTCAGTGTCCTTATACTCAAGTTTGGTCTCTTATAAGTGCAAATTTAAAAACAAACAAACAAACAAGAAAAAAAAAAAAAGCTCCTCCACCAGCCATACAATATAGTATGTCAGATGTCAGATCTCAAATGATGCTGTCAAATCTGTTTTCAATTCCTTATCGCTCTCCAAAACATGGCTTAAAGCCACATATATATAACCATTTCCTGACCACATTGCTTTAATTGGGGTTCGGTGCATTCAGCATACATCCTATGGCTAGGCTGATACTAGCAAAACCTTTGGTGGTTGCACTTCCAGTACTTGTACCATTTTTAACACCCTGCTACCTATTCCTTCTCAGAGCAGTCTTGCTTCTCAAGGACGTCAAGATTTTTTCAGTTAGCCACTGGCATGTTACCTGTGCTTATGATTTACAGAACCTTCTGATTACACACTATATAAGGGAAGCATTAAGGCTTTCATTCTCCTAGACCAAAGCTTTAAACAACTCCTTTCTCTTACCATTTGTCCCACCTGTTTGCCAGAGGTTACTGCCCCTCTAAGATGGACTACCTGGATAAGCAAATACCTGCATCTCAGCCACTGAAGAGCACAGATCAGTGTGAGAACTCAAACACTCATTCTCCAGCACCTTGAAGCTTTTCACCAAGCAGTGTGACAAGCAATCGTTCATTGAAGGGTCTGATAGACATACAAACAGTAAGCACAACATTTAGGTCCAGGAGAAGGACTCTCTTAAATTTATGGAAAATGCTTGGGTTTAAATTTGCAAATTATCCTGATGCAGACTGTATCAGGGAGTGTGCATCAGTGCGCTCTGAATGTTAAAACACTGAATACTGCTTATGAGCAGTCTTGAAAATGCACACCTGAAAAATTCTGATTAGTGAAATGAATGATGGTCATTCTTGGGGCATCTAACATGGCAATTTACACCTCTGTGATCCCGGCATCTCTTTCAGGGAAAAGGTTACCTTTCAAAACTTAAAGGCTTTGAAAAAGCTGAGCACTCTTTCAGAGTAATTTGACAGTTTGGATATTTGCTGTGCTCCTTTCAAATGTTGAAAATAATCCATCATTAGAAAACATTGAAACCCTAAGCAATGTAGCTCCTGGAAACCAGCAGGTTTAATGACGCACAGCATTAGTAGTGTAAGTAAGCAGGGTACAGTTCTGAATCCTTCTGTTGTTTGAAATAAATATGTCCATCAAAAAATAAACTAGACTCAATTGGAATAAAAAGTCCCTGTGGGAACTGCATATCTTCAGGAATTCAATTCCTGAGTTTACAGAAACCCATCCCCTTTACATGTGGAAGGGACCAGCAGAAGGAACACAACTGGAATACTTGCTTTGTGAACACTAGCCAAGATGAATAATAACTTGAAAAACAGATTAAATAAACACAAAGGTATCAATGAAGACTAACCAAAGTCATTTTTTTTTCAGTTAGCCCTTTGTGAAAGAATCAGAAATACCTATGTTTAAAAGAGAATACTACTGCACACATGGATGGGATAACGTTATTCCATCCACGACATAAACAAAATATTGTTGTTCCAGAAACTGACATCTGATGAATAAAAAAAACAAAGACACAGGTAAAAATGGAAAGGAACATGAAAAGATCAACATCCATTTTAAAGGCTGTAAAAGAAAGCTCTGAGTTTGAACTCCTGTAGAATGTGAAGTATAAGAAAATGCTAACAGGCCTTTTGGCCAAAACCACTATGAAATACATTCATATTAAAAAAGTTAAAGCATATCCAAGAATTATTCATCTTATTATGCAAACATCTAAAATGCAGAACTTGGCTCGGCAAGTTGGACAAGGCACGCGGCTCGACAGCCAGGTCTCTGGGTGCTGCTGATCCTGTCGGCTAGCAAACCATTTGCCCATGCAGGTGAGGCACCACATAGGACGACAGTAGCATTGCTGGCATTCCCCTTCATTTGGCTCCTGGCAGTTCTTGATGAGCTTGATGTTTGCAATAGTCTGCATACACCCTATGCATGGCTCCAGCTCCTGAAGGAGAATAATGTCAAAACTATGAATCGCACACAATGGCTTGCTATTGCTCTTCAAAAGGCTTTTTGAAAATTATCTCCATACAAGCACAGCAGGAACCTGAGCTGGGCAGAGCCTCAAGGCAGACCTGCCTCAGCAGAAGATAGCATGTGCTTCCAGTCTCCAGAGCTTCCATGAGAACACAAACTAATGAATGAGAACAAATTTACTCTATAGGCAGAAAATCCAGAACTGCTGCATGAAACTGATTAAGCACAAATGACTGAAAACAGACTTTTTTCAGGTCTCTGAAGATCTCCATCTGTTTCCAGAGTACAGCAGCCACATTAAGGTAAACAAGCAGACATCTTTATCATTCAGACATACTCTTTTTCAAATAACACAGAAATATACAGTTAGGAAAATAATCAAAGCAAACAGTTCTCACTACTTGTTACATCAAGTGGTTCCTATCTTCCATGTTTGTAAATAAAAGACATAAATAACAGGAAATATGGGGTCTCCTGAAATTAATGAGCACTGGTC